ACCTTCCGATTAGGGAACGACCCGCTCTGCCTCTGAGCCACAGCCGCCCAATAGAAACCCAAGGAGCAAGATGTTCATACCGTTTGTACCTATCTGTTCAACAGCAAAAAAAAAATTAATTCCAGTTCTGATTCAGTATTCTGACAATTTGAAAATGTTCTGTTCAGTTCAACTATGCTTAATTTTGCATGTGTATTTAGATTTATTTTTAGGTGGGATGCCATCCTGCCCTGGCATTTTGACAGCAGCTCTTCTAGTTAAGTTGCATCTGTGCTCCAGTCCCATGAATCGGGTTGTGGGTTACCAGATGGTGCTGACAAATTAAATGACATGTAGTGTGTGGATTGTGCATGGATTGTGTTCCATAGCAACATAGGTGAAATCAGACTAACTGTGTATGACGATTATTCATTATAAAGTTAGAGGGCCATGCAAATTACAGGAGTTTTCCAGCGCAAACCAGAGGGGGGCCAGAAGAAGGCCTTGAAATATGGCCGGTATGGTTAAGAAGTTGAGGACCTATTATGCCCCTTGCTAGTTTTAAGCAGCAAAAGCTGTTTTTGCACACATGTGTAATACTGGATAACTCCCCTGCATTAACATAATACACCATCAAGAATGTATTTTACTTATTTGTACAATGCGTCTTTAAGAGGAGAGAGGGCATTTATTTTGTGTGATCCAATTTCCTATCTGATACAAGTATGGTACTAATGGGGTTAGATTCTAATTCTGGTTCCAAAACTGCTGTGGTATTTATCATTTAATACACATAAGAAGACTTTCCTCAGCTCCTTGGCCTACTTTCTATGCTAATAGAAAAGCGCTCAACCTCAGAAGGAAAGATGGCTAATAACAAATTGCGGGGTGTAATTTACCAACTCAATATTACTGCCTGTTGGTGGTATTTTTTCTTCGACCTCCTCTGTTACCAGCACCGGGGTGAGAGTGAGGTATCAGGGACCTTATCTGAGTTATTGTAATTTTCTCTTTAGTGACAATATGGAGGGTGGCATAACAGCATCCCCTGAAGAGAGGATGATCCCACTCCTGCTTTCTCATCCCTATAGCAGAACCTAGACAGAGGTGAACTGTGAAAGGAGCACGCTGAGCCGAGGATGCGTTTTCCTCTCCATCCCAGCTGAGCCAAAATGAAACGGAAAGTTCTTCACTATGCTCAAGATGGACAGCCTGAGATGACCAATTTCAGGTATCCTGAGGTAAAAAGGCTTACTCTGAATGCAAATAATATGAATAGAATTGTGGGTCGAGGTAAAGTAGGGGCCTGAGACGCAAGTGTCCTGAACTGGCCTCGGCCTCAATTCTGTCCCAGAGGTGATGAAGCAAGCAAGGAGTGAGATGTGACCTTTCATTTGAAACTCACTCATACAGGTAAATGTCACCTCTGGTTTATCAGGATTGCCTGGTGATGCATTTCCATGGTGCGATTCAGTATTTAGACTTGACACATTCAAGATAAATTGTCAGGGTTTTTTTTGCAGTGTTCTAATATAAAGGCCATTTGAAATTCAGAGCAAATAACTTGTCTGAGACGTTTCTAAAAAAACAGCACATCAATAATCTAAGATTTTCCCTTTAGCCACCCTCAGTCATACTCACAACTGATACAGACAGACAGTTTTGAGCTCAACACTCAAATGAATCTCTGTCTGTGTCTGTGTCAAATGTTGACACAAAGATGAGTTCCTGTAT